GCAAACATGTACACATATGCACAGTAAAAGTAGAAAGTACGAACACATGCTCATCATGCTTGCACACTGTCATGGTTGCATCCATAATTGTGTGAACAAGTTACACTCACATACAGGTATGGCACATTAAGGCATAATTACCGTCAGGGTACCATAAAAAAAATTTTTTACATGGTAACTTGACGGTAATTATGCCACTATGTGTGTGGTACTTATGTCACACTCAAGCGTGCACGTATACATTGTATACGAGGCAATAGGAATATGCCTAACACTACATTTTGGATGCGCGTACACGCTTCCTCTCTCTATTTATTTTATTAATTTTAATATTTAAACTTGCCACCAATTTCCTACTGGTTATGTGATTGTCGCGCCTGAGCTTAAAAGGGTGTGAGAGTGGTGTGTATGCATGTCGACCAAAAAAGTGCTCCTATTTATTTCAATAACATCCGTTTGCAGAAATTCTTTTTGCATTGGATTTGTAATCAAATTCTCTTTAATTTTTTTTTTTTTTTTTTTCTTCTTTTTTTAGCAAGTAAAAATAAGAGTGCACACTTTTTCCTTGCGCTTTCTAGCTGGCTGGCTCTCCCTCTCTTTCTGGGTCGCCACTGCTGCTGCTGCTGCTGCTGCTGCTCTGTATCTCTCCCCCCCTCAAAAGTGCAACTTTTCCAATAAACCATCTCACTTGCTGTACTGATCCTTTTAAAAGCCAATAGTGTCTTTTTACTTGATGAGATAATCAGATGATAGCTCTCCTTTAAAGAAGAAGCCCCTAAATGGCCAGATATCACCAGAAAAATTCACTGTTTATTTTAAAAAATTGGATTAATCGTTTTTCGGCATCCTGAATAATTATCTTATCAAAAAAGCCTCACAAAAAAAATTTCAATAATCTTCGACAGGATTCAAACCCACGATCCCCCAAGTTTCTCCCGGCTAGAAAGTTAGCACGTTAACCACTATGCCATCGAAGCTCCCGATTGAGTTCATTTCTATTTACATTCCTTACTTTACGCACTGAACTAATCTTTCCAGCATGTTTTTTGGCAAAATGATATTTTATTCCGATCCCGTAATTCCTGGTAATAAGTAGACAAGTGTGTGGTTGAGGGTCACGCCGGGAAACGTGATGAGTTGCTGGGAGAGGAACAAGGTGCAGCCATAGTTCAGACAGCTTATCATGGAAAAACTTCTTTGCATCATTTAGATCAAAATTAACATTGATGTCTTCCGTGATTATTACATGATCTTGACTGGCCGCAAAATCTGCCAGGACCCTAAACAAGTCCGCAGCAAATGCTGATTTAGGGCATTGGTACGCTATAGCGAATAGAAGTACCATTTTTTTATGCTTGACTGACAGAATAAGATATTCAGGCATTAAAGTATTAAGAAAAGCTGGATCTGAGTGAGAAATCATTTCAGTCGCAAGATAGTCGTCAAAATAATCAGCAACACCTCCTCCCGATTTATCCAGTCCTTATAGTCCCATGATGGGATCCGAATCCTCAGGTCCCAGAAAAGTCTCCGTGACAGCAAAAATGTGTGACAAGTGTGTGGTAATAATATCCTCAATAAGATAAAAGTGCGGCTTTCATCTGTCAACATTGGCGTACAAAACCTTGACTGTATCTGCTGTATGTTTCAGTATAATGTATTATTGCTGCTAAATGAGGTAAAATCAGTTATTCTGTACGACCAGTTAAAAATTGATCAAAATCCTCAGGCACATAAATTGGTATTACCGCTGATTTAGCAGTTGGACACATGCAGATCGTAAGCCTCTTCTTTAATGGAGTAGTATAATATATTTTCTTAGGAAACTGTATTGCTGTACTTAGAAGTATATATACATCATGCAGCCAGAAAAAACCACAGTACAGTTGATTATCGACACCAAAACTAAGCACCTTCCATGTGCTGGCATTCTTTAGACGTGCTGAGCGCGCTGCAATAGTATCATGAGCCCCAGCTGAGATCATTTTTGTCACAATGTTAACTGCCCTAGTAGCAGTTTCAGTAGTGGTGTTTGGCTCCTCTACCCACAGCTGGCCTTGCCTCCATTGCCACAAATCTCTTTTGCTGTTCTTTTCGATAATCTCCAGTCTCTTTCCAGTACGCCTTCAAGTACTCCAGGCTTCTTCTATGTCGCTAAGCATTTTATTGTCTTCAGTCGTTGAGTCTTCTAGTACGGTAGAATGCGAACTAGCATAGGAGCGTTCAAAGAAACCAGAAGTTTTGGGGCACTTGTCCACTTGGTCAATGGCTGGTGTTGATGACGATCTACGTGAAAATGTGTATTTGGCGGTAACTGACACACTAAGTGTAGCAGGATTCTGTGATCAGAACAGGGTTTCGAACGAGTTGAAGGATAAGTTGGCATTAGTATCAGACATAAATGTGCAACGAGACAAGCAAAAGGATTGTCTGTTTAGAGCATGTCTACTGGGTGTGACTGTAGTTTTAATTACTGCACTCAGCTTAAAACAATAACAACATCAATTTACAATACGCCAATGCCAAATCTCAAAACACATCAATTACTAATGAAATTATCAACTTTCAGCAGGACAACAATTTTAAACTAAAGAGCAATGCTGTTCAAATTTTTTTATTTTTGTCTTAATGACGTATCGACTGTACATAGACAGTTCTTTTTAAGGCACCAGATTTGACGAAAACAAGAAAAATGATAACTACAACAGCGTTAATCATTAATTTTTTCTTGGACAATAAAATAACGTAAACTTACAACATGGAAAATATTATCACTGACCAAAGTCACAAATGATAAACTTAACTAACAAATTTTCTTTCTCGTTGTACTAACGAATAAATATTAAAGCTATTCGCTTAGAGTGCAATTCCGAAATCGCGCCCCCACTGGGCACTTTGAGAACGATTGGTTATCATTGGAAAAGGTAATTATTATGAAATCGAGCTTTTAGTTCCATTTACCAGGTGACCAGCCCTTAAATGTCGCTTCTCTACAAGCATATGGAAATTAATTCATAGTACTGTCCTTTATTAACCACGACCAATCGTTCTCAAAGGGCCCAGTGGGGGCGCGATTTCGGAATTGCGCTCAAAGTGAATACAGGTAGTGCTAGGGTAAAATTTCATAGATAACACGCAAACACGGTACACAAATAAACAGTGCGAAAAAACCCGGCTTTTAAAGGTTTAGATAACCATGGACAGTCGAAACGTTCTCAACACTAGAATAGAAATATTTTGAACAGCATTGCTCTTCAAATCAATATTGTTTTCCTCTACATTGTATCGCTGTTTTTTGGATCTTTTAAATATACTATCAGCAAGACTCCTATCCCCCTGCAACAAAACAATTTCACACAAGCACAGAGAGAGAAGAAATGAGAGAGAAAGACTAAATTACACTGAAAATAATTTTATTTGCTTAGGGCATCTGACTCGTATGGTAAAAAAAAAAAACAAATAAAGAAGAGAAGTGAAAAAGAGCGAAAAAATTCCGACGTTCCAGGCATGTACAGGTGACAAGTGTAATAGATCGTGAGAATCACAGATATCCAAGACACAAAAGTATTACACTGACTTTCTTTTTAAAAACGTAGTAGTCTATTTGTGCCGATAAAACGCTAATAGCTTATTATTAGAGTGGTGAGTTGTTGTTGCAGTAAGGTCATCGAATACGACGAATACGGCATAATCGGGAAAGTTATGAATCATGCTTAATTACTGAAAAATTATATGCTCTATAAAAAAAAGTTTAAACACATACTGATAAAATTTTTAGTATAGTTTGAGACAAGAACATAAAAATTTTACTCAAGCTGTTTTGTCTATTTTTTTTTTTAAAACTGTTCTTTCAACAAAAAAAATATATCATGTTCTCGTCGTTACCGTATGCAGTTTATTAAATGTATTACGAAGTCAAATATTATATTTTATGTTTCATGATTATTGACGGTATATACAATAGCTTATAGATTCCTATGAAAAAATATTAATAGCATGAATTAAAAACAGTTATTACTTTAGAATAGACTAATGCAATCATACATTTTGTGTGATTTGCGATTAAAAAAAAATTATAAGTATGAAATATTTTTCGGGCACCTCTACCTAGATGACACCAAGTATACAATTTGTTTACTCATTTATTTTGTAGCATAATTATCATTCAATTTACTAAGCTGTACACTAGTTAACAAATACTATAAAAAGTAATCGTAATCGTCAAATTCTTGATTATAAAGTGTATCTCTTTCCATTTTTATTGAATCATCCGCATATTACTTAAAGGACGATAAGCTTTTAAATTATTTCTACTAGTCCCTCATATATAGTGGAAGAAGCTTCAACACAGCCTTAGTAAAATAATTGTTTCTACTTTGAGGATTTTTGAATAGCTGATGTGCCCTCAGTAGAAAGGACAGAGTTCGTTACTTATGTGCATCCAATCAGGGCCGTTCTAATGGTTTCTCAGACATTGCTTTGCGAGCGCTTTAGGGGCCAGGGAACACGGGGGATATGCACATTTTTGACGAAAACTACGATTACCTAATTGGAGAACACAAGAATTTATAGTACCTTTATGGTATGCTTGCGACTTATTCAAGTTGAAGTTTTTTTTTTTTTTCTTAAATCTTCTATGATTCTTTTTGAGTAATTTGTGAAAGTAAAGTATGCCGTCAATGTATTTGCAATGATTTTGCAATTAATCTAATGTAAGACTTGCAGGAAAAAGTGCCTGCTACAACACACTTAAGACAATGTTATCTTACAAATTTTCGACGATGTTTAAAAATTAAAAAATTTAAGCTGAAACGATGTTATCGTATTTGAAAACAAAAAATGTATCACATTCTACTGGCCTTTTGAGATTTTTGCATATATTTAAGGGTTGATGTTTATATTATAAAAACAATAAGATTCATAGTGAATTAATAAAACATTAGTGTGTAATTTATTTATAAATGTTATTGCAAGCTAATAAAAAATTTTATATTTTTTAGGCATTACTTCATTCCTCGGCAAATCCAAAATCAGCAAAAAAAAAAAAAAAGAAGTCAGAAAAATGTTTGGGTGACGGATCCACAGGCATAAGTCAAGATGATGATTAAACCTCAAGTAAATAAATGTAATTCAGAAAATCAAAAGTTTATGATTTTTCAATAAAATAGGCTATTTGTCAATCGTTCATATTCATTATAAGCCCAGTCAAACTTTTTTTTTTTTTTTTTTCAGAATGAGCGGGCTTGTAGATTATAAATTTCTTTAGTTTTTTTTATTTTCTAACTGATTAAAAGAATTTATTTATTGAAATTAGCTATCACAGATCACTTTTAGTAGGCTTACATATATTTACATTCGTACTAAAAATCAACTTCGTTGTTTGAATGTATTAATATTCTTTATGTAGTATTGGTTTAAGTATTTTGTTTTTTTTTACACTTATTTTTTTAAACTAAAATCTTGACTGTATGCAGACAGTAAATACTTTATAAAGTAAGGTATCTAGGTACTTGCATAATGGGCACTCGAAAAATTAAGTACTAAATATATTTTTTTAAGTACTAACACTGAAAAATTTTATGCTAGTGATTGATGTGAGAATTTTCATTATTTACAAGTTTTCTCTGTTTCATAACACAAAACCTGAGCTCTACTCTTCAGTGTATATGGAAAAATATCGGACCGAATAAATAACCGCAAATGTACTTTGAGTATTTAAAAGTGAATTTTTCAACTCCTTTTTAATACACAAAGTCGACTACCGACAAAATTAAACATGCCAATTTTTGTCAAAACACCACTTTATCGACCAATGCGTTCAAATTTATGTAGTAAGAGATTCAGTCAAAAAGCACTTAATTAATAAGTATTGGAGCATTGAAAAAGTTATACAGGCATAGAGAGTAAGTATGCTTGGTACCGACATTAGAAATAGTAGGTTTCTTCAAAATTTTCGTATGTTTGTGTCAAAAATACAAAGGTCGTTTTTCTTTTCGAGAGCGCTCAGTCGTACTTTATGCCCCCAAGAATACTTAGAGTCCGCTAACTTTTCCACCTGTTAGGACAAAGTGCTAAGAAGAACCATTTTTGAAAGATTACTTTTATAAGAATCGCTTTTCTTATTGAATAAAATAAAAAAATGTGTACAGAAAATAAAGCATACTCAATATTTATTTATTTACTGTCCTAAAAATGTGTTCGTTAGAGTGCTGATTTTTTTCTGTACATGGCTCTCGGTACTGACACTAAAAAACTAAGACAGTTGAAATAAATGTAAAGATAAAGTAAAATCTGTAACAGAATTAAAAACTAAATTCATGCAGAAGCTTTAGAAATCGTCTTTATTAAATATTAAAAAATTGTTGAAAATTTTGCGAAATAATTAAGAACCAAACTTTACGAGCAACGTTTGTGAATTTTGCTTTTTCTGACGTAGTTAATCAGATGAAAGATTGTCTTGAAACCTATTTTTGTATCGCATGTATGTGTATAAGTACACAAAAAAAAGTTGGCCAATTAAAATATTGCTAAGCCCTCTTGATAAGGTTAAGGTCCCATTCACCGCTCACATCCGAACTACCGGTCAATTTACTATTATTTCTTTATCTTATTGTATTTGGAATGAAATGTTGTTAACAATGTCGTATTTAAATTAACGCACTGCTTTAAAAATTGAGCTCACCTTGCATAAATCGTTTAAAAGACAGTAGCTCGTACGCTTCTGAAGGTATTTTATGTGAAAAAATGTAGTTAAACTAAATTAAAACGTGCATACAGCAATAGAAAAATATCTAAATTATCAGTTGCAAATGTTGTGAGGTACCAAAAAAATTTCCAACTAAAAAAAACAAAGGTGATGGAAGTTATTTGCAGAATCCTTACCTCACTGTACCAATTACCGGTCAACTCATTCTCTCACACGTAAGGTTAATCACAAATTTTCCTATATCAAACCAAAATTAAAATAAAAAAAAACCAGTATTGACACATTATATAAAGAAGTTAATGATTCTTAATCTACTGTACGGGCAATAAATCAAAATCTACTAATGGACCAAACAAGACTTTTGAACATCTGTGGTAGGAAAATATTTTTTACGATTACATATATTCAAATAAAAAATGTAACAAATTAATTTTTATACAGATGATATACGAAGTTCAGTACCTAATATATTCAAATCTACTTCGTTTTATCCTGTTAACTCAAAAGAAGGAGAAGAAAAGTGGGATAAAAGTCAAGCTGCTCGTGACTGTAAATGTAAGTAGTTGGTAAAAGTTGAAAAAGTAATAAAAACTGAAAAAAACGTGGGAATTAAAAAATTGAATGGAAAAAAAAAGAAAGAAACCTAAAGGTGTCCAAAGAAGGAAGTTATTCTTAAATTTTTTTATCTTCAATTTTCTTGCATTTAAATTTCAAATTGTAAATATTATTTATCGTAAGCGACATTTTTTTTAGATCTCATGTACACGACCAAGATCTAAAACAAAATACTTACTTTTTCCCATGAACCGTAATTAAATCATGAGATGTAACTAATTTTTAATGACCAACTTACAATTGAAATAACACAGACCTTATAAATTTTCATTTTTTACTAACTTTGAAAACATTAAAACAACGAAATTCTAATGTATTTGCCATAAATAATAATAGTTTTTACGACAAAAAATGTGCTTTATTCTTTATTATGACGTATGGTCCCCGGGTAATTTATTGAAGAATTGAAATTTAAGCTTAGTGGGTGATACTTAGGATATTTACCGTATGTGAAAGTGGGAAGGAGTGGAAGGGGTGTGGGAAAAGAGAGGAAATTGACAGCCTGACACTACACAATTTTTTTTTTCTTTTGGCCACGGTACCAGAGTGATTTAGGTTGCGGTTCTTACATCTCGGGAACTTGTTAACACAGGCTTCTGAGTTTGAGACCTAAGTTTTACTCACTCGGCTCGCACCTTTAAAAATTTAATTGCCCATTGTCTTGTAAGTGATTTATCACATATAATCTGAAGCGGTTTTTTAGTGTACTAATGACGATGGCATATACATGCAGAGTAACAGCAATGCAGAGCCTATTGGGCGTAGTTCTCAGAAATGGCTGTTGAAAAAAAAAAAAAAAATTAAAATAAACTAAAAATCATACAACTTTTATATATATGCTATTTCACGTGGTTTCGAAATCAAAAGGACAAATGGTTATGTTTCCAAGACTTCGTAAGGGATGGTAAGTCTTGGTTCGCAGCCAACGATGAGTTGCAATACTGGCTAGCACTGGAAGCTTAATTACAGACCTGATACTGGGGCGAGCCAGTGCAAGATTATTTGGCATAAATAAAATCGATTGTATTATGTATGTAGGTTCGAACTAATAATAACTACTTGTACCGTTAAGTAGGTTTATTATAAAATTCACAATAGAAAAAAAAGATTTACATAGTACAACTAATTTTCAACATCTATTTGATTGAAACCAATAGAGTGCGACGCACAGCTCATGTTACTCGGACTTGTTCTGAAGCAACAGCATGTAGATTAGGCTAGGTGAGCCAGCAGGCGGTGCGTACCAACGTATGAATAGTAGATGTGGACACAGCACATTGTAAAAAGAATTGAACTCCCATAGCCAGAACAAAAACAGTTTGACCTATTGTGACATCGAAACTGAGCTTAATGTACCTTTTTTTCTTTTCTTTTTCTCCTTGCAAGCCTGCGTTTTCGTATCAACCTAAACACTACATACTCACACATATGCCAAGTACCGGAGCTAATGTATAACGTATAAGGAGGGACCGAGTAAGATTAACACCCAAGAGCTAGTTTACATCTCCTTCCCTCCTTATGCGTTAACAGATTTATCCATATCGTTCCGTGAAATTCAATAACTAATTTCTATTCTTTCCTTTCTCAGCCTTAACTATTTGGAAACAAGATGATGTAGTTAAATAAGCTGACGCTCAAGCCAGGATGTTTGGTTTACACGTTAGCCAACGTTCATGCAACAAAATTTAACAGCGGTATGCTACACTTCTATCATTCTCTTTTCTGAACACTTACAATATCAAAGGCCACCAGGCCGAAAAATCACGTGAACTATAATGCGACCTATTTTCGGCAAGCGAACACTAGGACCAGTATCGTTGCCGTACGATATTCTTAAGCGAGTAAGCATTATCCCAAAACCAAAACAACACATGTTAAGGAAGACGGGAAGCATGTAGAAAATCTTTCTCCCTCCCTGCCACGAGATGATGCAGACTAATTCTAAGAACCTATGTACGTCTCGTCGTCTTTGGCCATAGTGGCGATAAGGAGGCAAGAGTTTCGGCTATAAAAGCCCATGGCCTCTTTTGCGAGCAGGCAGTCACAAAAAACTTGTTCGATGATCAGATCAGCTTGGGTGTACACCTAGAGCAGTAGCCAGACTATACCCTCAACCTGGAGGACCCGGTCGGTGTATACATGGTCAGGCTAGTTTGGTAGTATCCCTAGAGCAGTAGCCAGACTAAAGCTCACGATCTGGAGAACCCGGTTGGTGCCTATACGTGACCTGGAGAATCTGGTTCATTTTAACGTAAATTATATCCGGCCACCCGGATCTTGCCTCGAGAGCGACTTCTGTACCCTTATTTTTAGACAATAATAAAAGTAAGTAATATTTATAATTAAAGTTAATTTTTACGCATCAAGACCCAAGAGAAATTCCTTGAAAAGTTATCCAAAACTCCCAAAACAAAACTGGAGACGGAAGCCAACCAATCACGACTTGCTGGTCTCGCGTTCATAAACGATACAGAGGTGAATATTAAGGAAGAACTACTCAAAAGGGAAAGGAAAAAAGCACGCGTGTCAAAGGATGTGTGCAAATTACTAATCGATATGATCTACGTAGAGATGACTCTAATTAAGTTTGGCTCCTCATTAAACAAAACCTCAATTCGCAGGCAGAGTGCTCAACTACAAGGGAACAACAATTACCTACCCTATTTTAAATAAAAGGGGGGGGGGCAAACACCACTCCTCTTTATTATTAGACTCATGACGTTCTGAATGTAAAGGAGCAAATCAGGAAAACCTGAAAAAAAAGGTAATTCCCGACAACCTTTCAACGGACGATAATACGTCTGCGACGAATTAGGTCATCTAGCCAATAAGGAGGATGGCCGCCAGTGGGTTTTACTC